AAGCCTAAGCCTAAGCCTAAGCCTAAGCCTAAGCCTAAGCCTAAGCCTAAGCCTAAGCCTAAGCCTAAGCCTAAGCCTAAGCCGCAACATAACAGAGCCTGAGAACGATCAAGGCTAAGCGAAAAAACGGCGTATACTTTTTCGTGTTCCAAAAGATAGAGTAAAAAAATTGACAGACCGACGAGAAGTAAGAAGGTGGAGCCTGTGGAAGAGAGAAAAACTTGAAAAAGAGCTGACGTGCTCATTACGACGGCGGTTGTCCAAGTGTGCTAGCGTGTGTAATTTGCGTGTAACGCTTTGTCCTCCGCCGGCGGCGCTTTCAGGAGAACATGACCAAATTATTTTCTCAGTCCGTTTTAAAGTTGGTTTTTTCTGGTCTAATTTCAAAACATAGGTAATTACAGGCTGTTAGAACTTTCAAAAGACGTTCCACCGGATAGTGTTGACCCCAACACCTTGTGGGTTCCAGATGAAGCGGTCGGTTACCGACTCTGCACCATCATTGACAATGGTGTGTACGACGTCTTGGTCGGGTTCCGAGACGAGCAGGGCTTTTTTGAAAAGGTGTGAAAATTATATTCTACATCTGCAATTTTTGTTTTGTTAGAACAATCAATAACCTAATGCAACTTTTTCGAAAACGTTAATTTCAGAAACGAGTTGACAAATTGCTTTGTGAAGCGCCGAGTTTCAACACGAACAAGGACGATTTATGCACTCTGACTGAGCCAAATGCAGCCACAGTACTGGAGACTCTCGCCAAGCGATATTCACACGGAATAATTCACGTAGACAGTTTTTTTTTCTTGTTCTAAGGAGGGAGAGTCACATTTCAGACGTATTGTGGCCCGTTTTGCGTAGTGGTAAATCCGTGGAAACCTCTGCCGCCTTTGTACACCGAGGAAGTGATGACTGAGTATGCCCATTGCGGCGGCGATTTGCCTCCTCACGTTTACGCGATAGCCCAAAATGCTTTCAATGGCATTGAGCGAGGTTTCATTTTTTTGCTTGCAAAATGTTGAAGTGAAAAATTTGAACTTGAGGTGGCATGAATCAATCGATATTAATCACGTGAGTCCAAGATATCCTTTGATCATTTGAACACCTTTTCCGAAAATTAAAAAGTAAAAAAAAAGTCTAGTGGCGAGTCTGGAGCTGGGAAAACGGAAAACACAAAAAAAATTATCGACTTCATCTTGCACGCTGCGTGCTCTGGTGGAGATCGTCGTCGAATCGCCGAATGTGTCGTTACCAGTGGTCAGCTACTCGAAGCTTTTGGCAACGCAAAAACGACTCACAATAGCAACAGCTCGCGATTTGTAATTTTTTTTCTCTCGATCGAATAAAAGAATAAAAAAATAAGTTATTTTTTTCAGGGAAAAATTCATCCGGATAGAGTTTGATGAAGAAGCGCGACTGCTTGGTGCCAAAATAGAATGCTGTTCGTTTTCTTTTCTCTCACACGCTGGCTACTTTTTTGTTTTTTTTTTTTTTTTTTGCAGACCTTTTGGAAAAGTCGCGAGTGGTCAACCAAAACGAGGGCGAGCGTAACTTTCACATTTTCTACCAAGTGCTATCCAACTTTTTCGACGTGCCGCACAAGAAGTTTCTCAAGCTGACCAAAAGACTAGAAGAGTACAAGTTTCTGAGAACAATGAAGATTGAGAAAACTGTTGACGACCGAGAAGGAGCTCGAATTTCAAATGCAAGTTACCAGTTCTGTTCATTGCTTTTTTATGCTCCAAAAACTTTCAGCGCAATGGAGAAAATATAATAAAAGAAGAACTAAGGAGCTTTTTTTTCCAACATTTTCGAACACGAACTTATTCTTTTTTTTTGCAGGAATGTTTCTCCAAACTCGGCATGTCCGAGGAGGAACAACGGCTTGTGCTGCAAGTTCTGTCGGCAATTCTGCAAATTGGAAACTTGAAATTTGGCGAGCGAACTGGTCTCGACATAAGCTTTATCGAGGACGACACGGGTACGTTTGTTTTCGAGAAGAACGGGGCGAATGAACGCGTCATGTGTTACGTGCGTGACTTGCCCACATGATGATGATGATAGAAAAATAAATTTTTTTTTTGAAAAACTGATAAGAAAGAGAAAAAAATTATTAATCTTTAGAACCTGAAATCATCGCCGAGCTTCTCGAATTAAAAACATCAAAACTCGTCGACGCCTTGACGCAACCCACTATCAAAGTACACGACAAGCTCATTAGAAAGAATCAAAATTTGCAAAAAGTAATCAATTACCGATTTGTGTAGAAGATGAACTTCATAACTCAAACATAGACAGTCTTTTCTGCATGTGCCATGGCCAAAGTCCTCTACGAGCGTTTGTTTGGCTGGATTGTCAAAAAGTGCAACGATGTCTTAACCTCCGAATCTTCAAATGTTGAACCAGGTAAAAGCTGTGTGATAAAAACATATTTATTATGTGAAATCTTCATAGACGTCAAAAGTCGCCGGTTTATTGCCGTATTGGACATTGCTGGCTTCGAAATAATTCAGGTTCTGGAAATAAAATGTCCAAAATTGACAAAATTAACGCGCAGAGCAATTCTTTCGAACAGTTTTGCATCAACTACACTAATGAGCGCCTTCAACAGTTTTTCAACCACTTCATGTTTGTCAAGGTGAGAATTTAGAGTCCGTTAAAACAACGCCATTTAAGGAGCAAACCGACTATCTCGAGGAAGGCGTGAAATGGGCGAACTTCGATTTTGCCAACGATCTTGAAGAAACTATTAGTCTAATTGAGAAGGTTTTTCAAATTTTTCACGAAAATTTTTTTAAAAAAATTTTTTTGAGATTTTTATTAAGGTTTGTCACAAAATACTTCTTTTCTAGCCACTTTTATCGCTGCTCGAAGAAGAGTGCCTCGTGCCGAACGGAAACGACATGTCTTTGCTGGAAAAGTTTGCAGCAAGCATGGCGACCAACTCCAATTTCGCCAAGGCCAAGCAATCGCAAAAGTAAGAGCTTTTGATAGGATAGTTATGTATTGACGGTGGTATGAAAAAAAAAGACCAGCGAAAGTTCGAACTTCGATTTTTTCATGTCGCTCGCTAGTGAGCTTTCCGACGGCCACCTTCCCGACGAATCCCTTTTCGACTTTTTTTCTCGATAAACTCTTTGTTCTGAATCTGCCCATATAAAGTAGGCAAGTTATTCATGATTAAAAACAAAGAAATAGGAAAAAAATGTTAATAGATTTTTTAGAAAACCGAAAAATATAAGGGAAAAAGTCGGAAAGGATTTCGTCGGAAAGGTGGCTGTCGGGAAGCTCCCTGGCAATATGAAAAAATCGGTTTAGTCGCCGTTCAAAAGTTCGCTGGCTTTTTTTTTTCATACCACCGTACTGACAATCAAATCAAAATCAAATGTTTCATTTTTCACACGCACAAATGCTTTTCACGGAATAAATGTAGGGAAAATGTAGGGAAATGCGTGTTTGGAACTTGTGTTGATGGAGGGAAGAGGTCTAGTACAAATTTGAAGTCAATTTAAAATTAAACTTTTAGTTTTCGATTTTTAGCTTTCATATTTTTTGGATCAAGAGTGTTTATCTCATTTCTACGGTCGAACAGTAAATAAAAGTTTCAAAGCTTCAAAGTTCAGTTCTGTAATGTTATTTTTAAGCCATTATTTAATTTTAGGTCTGAACTTTTTTTTTTTCATACTCCAACACTATGTTTCTATCCATGTGACTCCAATGATTGAAAACTCTTTGATTAATGAACCGGGAGTGTACGGCAGGAAGGAGAGGCCGCTCTATCATGAGACCATTCCCTGGAAGTTGATTCGAACTACTCGTTGTGTTTTGTGAAGGAATTTGAGGTGGTAATCAATATTATCCGTAAATGAAGTTAAGGGCAGCAGTTATGTCTTTTTTCAAACGCCTTTGCTAAAGGGTGTTTAGTCCAAGATGTTGGCCTCGCTTTTTGTAATTCATTTTGAAAAAAAGTATTTTTGTAAATTTGTAAATTTTCTTTGAAATGTTTCTAGTCTATAGATGTCTTTTTTATTAGAGAACAGAAAAGTTCTAATTCATATTGAAGAACAGGTGATATTTTCAACTTGCAGCAGTTCATAAAGTTACTAGACATGAATGTAAAACATCTTAAAAGATTGTTCATTTTTTTCATGCACAACTACATTCACGTGACCACTCATTTTCAAGTCAGATTTAAAATGTACTCTCAGATCTCCGAAGAGTTCCTCTGTTTTTGAGCCTTTTTTTTGTAGGAAGGGTTTTCAATATTTGATTTACCATATATGACATGTGTACTCCTTGAACTCGATTGGACAAGCTGTCTATTTGCTGAAGGTTTATGCATATACAGTACCGCTCATAAGTATATTAAGTTTTTGGTTTTTTTGAGGATATCCCAGTGAGTACTTATCTGATTTATATATAACTTTCAGGGATAATGTAAAAATATACTTTGAAACATATATGGTATACAAAGACATGTCCGCAATCACTGTGACGCGTTTTTAGGCATTTTTTTATTGAATTCAATTTTTTGTTTTTTTATGCTTTTTATTTTTTTATTTATTTTTTTATCAAATTTTTTTAAAAAGTGATAATGTTGCCATATGTTTTTTTTCATGTTTTCAAACATGGGAAGAACCTCTGAAAAAAAGGATTTGACTGATAACGACAAAAGAACCATCGTTGTGGGTCGTCAAAATGGACTGACCATGATGACGTTTGCAGGAATGTTCGGCGTGACAGAGGCGTGCATTTCTCAGTTCCTAAAGCGTCGGAAAGCTCAAGATGGCTCTACTAACAGCCAACGCACTGGAAGACCACGTGTCACTGGTCGTAATGACGATAGAAACATTTTGAAGACGTCTAGAACCAATCCAAGACTCACCGCCCCTGCGATCAGACGGGAAGTTTTCTTGAATTCGCCATCTCCGCCATCCGTCTCGACCGTGAAACGACGTCTGAAGGCTGCTGGAATCATGAGAAGACGTCCAGTGAAGAAACCGTTGATTTCTGAAAAGAATCGAGCCGACAGGGTGAAGTGGGCGAAGGAGCATCTCAACTGGACCCGTCAAGACTGGAACAAGATTCTGTGGTCCGACGAAAGCAAGTTCCTCCTCTTCGGGAGAGACGGATTTCAGTGGGTTCGTGGACCAATTGAGTGCAGATATCATCCAAAATACCAATTACCCACTGTGAAACATGTTGGAGGAGCGTTTCGTCGGACCACAGAATTTTGTTCCAGTCTTGACGGGTCCAGTTGAGATGCTCCTTCGCCCACTTCACCCTGTCGGCTCGATTCTTTTCAGAAATCAACGGTTTCTTCACTGGACGTCTTCTCATGATTCCAGCAGCCTTCAGACGTCGTTTCACGGTCGAGACGGATGGCGGAGATGGCGAATTCAAGAAAACTTCCCGTCTGATCGCAGGGGCGGTGAGTCTTGGATTGGTTCTAGACGTCTTCAAAATGTTCCTATCGTCATTACGATCAGTGACACGTGGTCTTCCAGTGCGTTGGCTGTTAGTAGAGCCATCTTGAGCTTTCTGACGCTTTAGGAACTGAGAAATGCCCGCCTCTGTCACGCCGAACATTCCTGCCAACGTCATCATGGTCAGTCCATTTTGACGACCCACAACGATGGTTCTTTTGTCGTTATCAGTCAAATCCTTTTTTTCAGAGGTTCTTCCCATGTTTGAAAACATGAAAAAAAACATATGGCAACATTATTACTTTTAAAAAATTTGATAAAAATAAATAAAAATAAAAGCATAAAAAACAAAAAAAATTGAATTCAATAAAAAATTCCTAAAACGCGTCACAGTGATTGCGGACATGTCTTTGTATACCATATATGTTTCAAAGTATATTTTACATTATCCCTGAAAGTTATATATAAATCGGATAAGTACTCGCTGAGATATCCTCAAAAAACCAAAACTTAATATACTTTTGAGCGGTACTGTAGTTTAGATCTTGTTGAATCTTATGTAAAAAATTTCCTATTTTCAAGCTTATTTCACAATCGTCTGTCATCATTTTTTTTTCTCTAGATTTGTTCGGAATTTAGGAGCACGGCCGCGGTGCGGCACTTTCTGATAAAACACTACGCTGGCAATGTTCACTACAACATCGACGGCTGGGTTGAAAAGAATCGCGACCACGTTGAGACTTCCGTCCTCGAACTTTTGTCTCAATCGACAAATCCCCTTGTCAAAAGTCTGTTTCCACCAGGTAATTCTATTCAAAAAGAGAAATCCACCAGGTAACTAAGTTTTTTTTCTTCTGCACTTTATAATTCATTTCTCATTTTTTTTTTCACTTCTAGTATCGACAAGCGTGACGAAAAGCCGTCGAGGAACGCTGACTACGCAGTCCACCGTCACGTACATCTACAAGGTTTGCATTTTTCGGCGGCGATAATTGAAAATGCATTTCACAAGAACCAATTGCAAAGCTTGCTCAATACACTCAACAGCTCGTCGGCACATTTTGTTCGCTGCGTCGTGCCAAACCATGATCGCGTTCCAGGTCGAATCGATGGTCAGCTTGTGCTCGACCAGCTTCGGTTATCTTTTTTTTTTCTCTGCATGAAAACGTTGATTTTGTTTATTTTTTTCGATTGTCTGCTTTCCAAACTAGAAGCGACGGTTTTCATCATGCCCAGTAGGTCTACTCTACGTAGAGCTCTCAAAACCAAATGTTTGAAAAAATGAAAGTTTGAAAACATGAAAAAGTTTGTTTTCAACATTTCGAAACAATTTCATTTCCAAACATTGATTGCAAACGGCCACAATCAAATCGTTCAAGTTATGATCAAGACCAAAAAACAAACGTTTGTTATTTTGACCAAACTTTTTTCAAACGAAAACGAACGTTTGGTTTTCCGATCAAACTTTTTCCAAACATTGAATGAATGTTCGTTCCGATCAAACGTTCGATTTCGAAATTTCAATCAAAGGTCGGTTTCAATGAAATTTTGAGAAATGTTTGGTTGAACGTTCGTTCAAACGTTTGGTTTTGAGAACGAACTCTAATGCCCAGGGTTTTTGAATATCTTTTCAAGTTTTCCATAAACAAGAAAAATTCATTGCTTAGACAAAATAAGAGAAAATAGGGATTTCCTACCAGTATAGCCTGTGTATGACGACTTAGAATTTCACCAATCAACATTCCGCTGTGCCGCTTCGCGCTTTTAACTTTTTTTTTTCAAGGTATTCTATTGCCATGAGATCCCACAGCAATAACAATCAATTGAAAGCGTGACCTAGATTCGAAAGACGATTCGCGAACGCACGCAGTGGAACAGCGGAATGTCGTTTGGTGAAGTTTGAAATTGTGGCACACAGACTATATAGTGCCAAAAGACGTTTAAAGAACTGTTTTCTTTCACAGCTGCAATGGCGTTCTGGAAGCAATTCGCATATGTCGCCAGGGCTATCCATCTAGGCTGCCTCACAGTGACTTTGTTGCTCGTTACAAGTTGCTTGGAGGCGACGAGCTGCTGATCAACAAGACGTTGTTAAAAACGCCCAAAGAAGCCTGTCGAACAATTTGCCAAGCCGTCGAGCTGGACGAAAGCCGCTTTTGTGTAGGCAAAACAAAAATGTTCTGCAAGGTTGGCGTCATTGCCGAGGTACGTGGCTGTAGAAGCCAAAAAGCTCAGTTGATAATTTTCAATATTTGAGTTATTGGCTTAAGAATTTCATGGTTCAATATTTAAAAGATTGGTACAAAAAAATATTGTTTTGAAGACAAATGAAATTTTGTTTTTGACCACCACTAAAGTGGCCATATTTTTGTAAAGTTTCAAATTGACGCAATATATAATATTTAAGTTGGAAAGCCTTCGTCGCGCACGCATCGCGAATTTCATTACAAAATTTCAAGCTCACGCGAGGTATGGATTCGCCCAAAAGGAGTTGGAATCGAAAAGGAGTAGCTCGTAATTTTTTCTTCGTTGTGACTAAAATCCCATAAACAAGTTTAGAGACGCAGTCTTGACTATACAGCACAATGTACGCATATTTTCAAAGCTTTCTCAGTGGCCGTGGCTGCGGATCTTTCAGCTTTCAAGGGCGCTCATTCCAAGAGTAAGAAATATTCAAGTCTGATAATGAAGAATTTGACGTCTTTTTGAGGACCGAGAACGCCTTCGAATCAAAGAACTGGAGAAGGAAACGATGACGTTGAGAGATGAGATTCAAGAGCTAGAATCCAGAAACCAAGATACAAAACAAGAGCTGGACAAACTCAACTTAGTTGAGTCTGTGCTGTAAAAAGATATCGATGCAACTTTTTCGTAGGTGTTAGAACGAGAAAGGGCAGGAAAAGAGACGTTGAATAAATCGGTCGAGGATATAAAAAAGGCAAAAAAAAATCCAGTTTTTTTAAGAAAAAAAATTTTCAGAAGTTGGCTGATAAAGAGCGGCAAGTTCGGAAAACGCTGGCCGAGATGGAGCAAAACGAAGACGTTTTCAGTCTACTCGAGAAAAAATACAATGAGCAACATCAGAAAGTCATGGTTTACATAGTGTTTTTCATTTAAAAAGGGCGAACTTTGGAAATTTTAGAAAATGAATGACATTTTGCGCGAATATGAGAGAAGGGCGGAACAGTTTGACATGGAAAAAGCAGACTTGGAAAAGGAACTACGAAAGGTGAGCTAGTTTTTTTCCTCATTATCCGTTTGTTCATTTTGCAATGAACCAAATTTTTCTCGACAAAACCCTCTAACAAGAAAAGTCAAAAAGAAAAAAAAAAAGAAAAACTAGAAACAAGAAAAAATAAGCATTAAAAATGCAGCATAATTTTCAGAGAAGATTTAAACATGCTTACAATCAATTTTTTGCTAAAAACAGTGAGCGATCGAATACCATCGAAGAGATGATCAGGATTTGAATTTCGGATAGATGAATTTCGGGTAGACCGCGAAAAAAAAGTCGTGAAAAGGTAGCCGAAAATAAATGAGATAACACGTTGATTGAATATAAAGGCAGATCTGCGATTAATATTTCTGAAAACTAGACAAATATAAAAACCAAAGCGATTTTCACGAAAAAAAAAATTTACTACGTTGCAAGGTTCGAGAGCAACACCAGCGTGAGGTTGAGTCGAGCGAAAAGACCCGCAAAGAGGTCCTCGAAAAAATGACAATTTATGACGAATCGCAAGGACAAGTCACCAAATTGCTCGAAGAAAACTCGCATTTTCGACTGCAAATTGCCAAGTAAATTCACATTTGAGTTGAATACAGGTTTGAATTTTTTTTTTTCTAGGTTGGAGAACGAGGTGAAAGACGAAAAAGCGAGGAACGAGCGCCAAAACAATACAATTGGCGATCTCCAAAAGCTGGTAACCGAACTGAATGTGAGATTTTTCTCTTTATTCAATAAAAAAAAACACTGACTTCAGGAAAAGATTGCGCGGTTTGACGGACTCATGTTGAACGAAAAAAATTTGATGAGGAGGGCAGAACGCGACAAAGACCAGTTGAAGGAAGAGCTGAAAGCCGCCAAAGAATTGATTGAACGACAAGCCAAGAAAATTGATCAGTTGGTTAGCGCTTCCAATTAAAAAAAATGAACTGAAAAAAAAAACGTTCCAGAAAACCCACCTCACGCAAAGAGACAACGACGTGAAACGGCTGGAGAGAAAACTCGAGGACAAGGACGCCATGATGAAAGACTGCGTTCAAGACCTCAAAGAGAGCCACAAAGAGCGCGTCAAGGAACTCGAGCAGAAGATGGACGACTTTAAGCGAAGAAACTCCAAGTTTTTTTATCTTTTCAGTTTTTTGCGACAATTTTTTTTTTGAATTTACAATTAAACTAGTAAGTGCCCTCCTTCCATGCCTTCTCGTGGCATAGAAAGGGGTGCACTACTTGATCATTGACATTCGAACATGGGAGGGTACAAAATACTAAATTTTGTCCATTCATCAGGTTGGAGAATGAAAATAGCATGCAAAAATCGCAAATTGAAACGTTTGAACGCGAATCTTCTGTCGACTCGGACTATGGTGAGTATTTCAACCTATTTTTTTTTTGGAACTCGAAATTTTCAGGAAGATCTAGCTCTGGGCGCATGTCCATGTCACACATCGGACGACAGTACTCGTTGACCTCTATGGGCTCGTTTTCATCGCTGCGAACAATAGGCCTCCGACGCAAAGATTCGGAATCTGACCTGACGTCGTCCATGTACTCGTTAAGGTTTTTACTTACTGGAAGAAGGAATCTTAAAAACACATCTTTTATAGAAGACGAGACTCACTCTTCGATTTGCCAACCTCGCCGCCGTCTTCTCAAGTGGGCCTCCAGAGAAGCCCATCGACGACAACAACGACGTCGGCCGTCATGGAAAAAGAGCGCAGGATTCAAGAGCTGGAAAAGTAATTGGCTTAAAAAAAATGTACACCTTCCCTTTTAGAGAAAAAGCCGCTCTCAAAACGGACCTGCAGTTGGTCAGACGAGAGCTGGAAGTTTACAAGTCTCAGATGACTGCGCTCGAAATGGTTAGTCTGGTAGATGAAAAAAGAACTCACTAGCCACCTTTCACAATTAGGAAAAGGAATCGCTTCAAACTATGGTTCGCAAACAGACTTCGACACTGGTCGATAACACGAGGCAGCTGAATGCAGCTCAGGTTCGCTATTCGAAAAAGATATTTCTTCGGAACTTAGATCATTTCAGAAAAACGTAGACAATCTAGAGCTGCGGCTGAAAAGAGCGCTCGACGATTCGCAAGTCTGGAAAAAGAAGCACGAAGACAGCGTTAGTGAGAGCAAACAGGAGATTCTTGCCGAAAGGTTGTTTTTATATTTATATTTATACATGAATTACATTGGCAGCGACTGAAAACAAATATATGTAGCTGCGCAATCAAAGTTTTTCCAACCACCTTTTTTTTTTTAGAAAAAGAGCTTCCGAACGAACCGTCGCCGTTGAAAAAGAGAACGAGCTCAAACAGAGCCGCATCAGCAGCGTCGAGATGGCGAAAAACGAGCTCAGTGTTGAGCTGACGAAGGCACACGCCGAAATCGACCGCTGCCGCGCTATCATTCTGCAGCTTGAAGAGAATTTGCGGTCGCAGGTTCAATTTTCTTTCATTGATTTTTCACTCAAGCTCGATTTTCAGGAGACTCTAGGCGGCAGCTTCGAGAGCCATCAGCGCAACTTGCAGTTTGAAGTGGAAAGTCTTCGAGATGAGAATTGTGCCCTCAAGGCCAAAATTCGACGTCAGTACAAGCAGATTGAAATGTTGACGCGTGAGATTTGCTATTTATTCCTGTTTTGAAAAAAAAAGATAACTCTAGACCAAGACGGTACCAGCGACGAGTTGGCTCATTTTCAGCAAAAGCTGCAGCGAATGGAGGAGCGATGACCACGGTTGAACTTTATTTTTATTTTTATTTTTTTGCATTTGTGTTATTGTTGTTCTTGTTTTTTTTATTCCTTGTTCAAGTTGTTCAATTTTCTTGTTCCTCATTGGCTGTTGGTTTCTCCGGTGAATTATAATGAAATTTCCAAAAAAAACTTTTGAGTTACAAAAAACAGTTAGGAAAAGTTTCGCCCAAAAAAGGAAATGCGGTTTCAGCCGGTTCGACTCGAATAAATCGCGGAAAAGCGAGAGGTGCCGCCAAGACGACTGGCTTGGCCGTGTCTCATCAAAACGTCGTCGTCGTAAGCCGCGTGCCCCAATTCTCTTCTTTTCTTCTCGCGCCCCTCTAAAAGAAGACCATCGCTACTACCAGCTGACTTTCTTGGTTTTTTTTTAATCTGCGTCCTTTTCATTTGAAAAATCAAATTTTCGTTCCATGTCTCATATTAGAAATTTTTTTCTTTTCGGTTTTCAACGTATAGTCTGTTCAGATTTTTAATGTCAAGTGCAATGACGTCATTCAAAAACACTCTGTGGGTGGCTCGCTCTCTGATTGGTTTATTGCACCATTATGGGCGGAGCTTGAGCATCGACTTGACATTCAAAATCTGAATAGACTATACTCCTTCTCAGAAATGAGCCATTTTCGTGGACATTTCTATCTCAAAAAAAAATTTTTTCAAGCGGAAAAAAGCTCGATTTTTATTTAGACAATTGTTAAGATTACAAATAAATTTACTCGTTCAAACTCCAAGAACAACAATTTTTTTAATACGGAAAAAGAAAATCCGAACGCTGAAAACTTGCCAACTCACAAGCAGCCAGAAACGTAAGAAATCCGAAACGGACTTTCGTTTCCGAAGCGTTGACAAGAAAAAAATCCTTTTCTGGATCCAACATCTTTCTGATCCTCGCCCTTCTCATCGTTTGACGGCGGCGGCGACAAGCCTTTTTATTCTTTGGAAATCCCTCAGCCAGTTCCTTGGCCGATCAACTCGGTACATTTCTCAAAGGATTCGACTTGTTCGAAATTCCTCAGTTCTTTTGTCTAGCACCAAAAATTCGCGTGTGCTTTTCAGCCATGTCGGCATCTCCGGCGAAACGCAAGTTTCCGCCGCCCTTGAACACACTCGGCCTCTTTGAGCCTTACGTCAAGAATGGCAAGAAAATCACGGAAGTTGTCAGGTTTGGTATTTTCATTAAACACGAAATTTTAAATTTTTTTTTTCCTGCAAACAATACAGAAACTCAGAATTGAAGGTTTAACCCTGTGGAGGTTTTCTTGGCCGGCTTTCTGCCGCCAATGTTTGGCTCCATCTCGGCAATCGTCATTGCTTTGGTCTTTCACAACGACGAGATCAGCAACTATAACTGGCAGTGCGGAGTGAGTGCTCTTCTTTCTTCCCAATAAAACCAAATTTATCAAGTTTTAAGATATCCCTTCGCTTACATCGAGATATATTCGTTAGATAATACAAAGAAATTCACGATAACCCATTGAGAGAGGGGCTCCTGGAAAAATGTTTAGTAGGGAATGATATCAGCTCACAGTAGGACTTCTGAATGAGACTAGGCTCACTAGAAGTAGTTTTTTACGCTGGTTCCGAATCTGTGCTCAAAAATTGCTTCAAATGCTTATGCAAAAAGATGTGAGCTGTCAAAGTTGAAAAATTCGATCTCTTTGTTTAAATTAAATTCGGTGGCTTCAAAATTGAAGTCTCGTCTCATTTCGAAAAATCGAGGCAAGTGCTTACCTCGTCACCAAAAATTTTGCAAAATTTGCTCCGTCTTGATCTCAAAAAGCACCACTCGAACAGTCCTGTTTCAGAGGGCCCGCTTGCCGTCGTTGTCTAGAATCATCAACCTTCCCGTTGAGAGAACTTTCTGGCAGCTCTTCCTTCTTTTTCATGTCCCGATTCGCGTCATTGAACTCATAACCGGGTGTCCGTTTTTTTTTCACATTTTCTTTTCCAAAATTGACATTTTTACAGTCTCGCGATACAAACGGATGAGAAACGTCAACTACAAACGCACCTGGTTATACGAAATTAGCCGCTACGCGTACTTTGTCGTGGGGCTCCTTGAACTCGCATTTCTGTCTGGCCTTTCGATTGTCGGAGAACGAGAGAATATTCGTGAGACTTTTATTTCAAATTTTCGTGCCCAACTTTTCAAAAAAAAAAGTGCCAGTCTTGAAATGGGGTCAAAAATCTCAAGTCAAAACGATTATCCAGAAATGCACGTCATCTTCTTCTACATCTTCGGCATTTGCGGCATCATTCACATGATTGCCAATATTTTTTGCCACGCCCATTCGCTCTACTATCTCAATCCTTATGTAAATCTTTGCGTTCAAGTTCAAGCCTGAGTATTTTTCTGCATTTTTCAGGGACGATTGTCTTACTATTTAAAAATAACCTTCACCTCGCTCTACATTCTCTCGACGCCCATTCTCATTGGCTCTTTTCTACTCTACTGGCGCAAATGCATCACTTGGGGCTCGTTTTTTTCACTTGTTTTCGCTTCATTTTATACACAAAAAAATTTGAAAAATATAACTTTTTAGCTTATGACGTTTTCGCAATTTGCGAGTACAGCGGCGTCTTTCTCAACATTTGCTTTCACGGCTGTGCCTTTTTCGACATTCGCTACAAGGTCACGTTTAGGTTCGTAGCTTCATGGCAAGAAAAAAATATCTTTTTTTGAAACTGAATACACTTGTGACCATAATTATAATAATTTATTGACAGATCAGCGTGAACCCTAACGAGTTCACTTGGATCTAGAATTTGAGAGAATACATTATACAGTTATACATCATTTGAGTCGTGGAGGAATAGACAAGAAGATCTCGTGCAATGGTAGATTGACCAGTAAATTTTTTAAAGACTTGGGGTGGTGGCTGAATTGAAATTTGGAAGTGAGTTTGTTCCAAGTAGGAATTGTTTTAAAGAAAAAATCATTAGAAGACCATAATCAGTTTAAAACCGGAAGCAAATTGCAGCGTCCGCCGTATCGAAGACGTGCCGCCGGCCAACAAAGCCCAGGACGACAAGAAGATGGAAAAGCATTAGTTTGCTCGTGAACACGATTATGTTATCTTATTTATTCGATGAGCAACGAAAAAAAAATCCTGGTAAAACCCAAAAAAAAAAAGTTAAAACTCCTCTTGTCAAATTCACTCAACACGGGGAATCTTGTGAACGTGGCACTCGACAAACATGCGCTTCTTGACGATTGGTAGGCCAATCACGTCAAAATACTGGACTTCCCGGTCAAAAAAATTGGATGCTGCCTGGAAAAAAAAATGCCAACACTTCTCATTTTCATACATTTTTAAAATTATTAATCAATTCTAATATACTTTATTTGGAATCGTTAAACCAAATCAAAGTTTTCCGTTGAGAAAAAAAAAGTTAATCCGGATTTCTTTCTTTTTTTTTCGAAATAACACGGCGGCAAACAAAATGTGTTGTACGCAGTGCACGCGATACATGAAAAGCGACGCGCAAAAAGCAAGGTTGAACGTTTATGGCGTGTTCATCGGAGAAACGGAACATGCTTCAAAACGAAAAATCGTGTTCATCGGCGCGCCAAAGTCGCTCCAAAAGAGTACTAATTTTTGTTTTGGAGCAATGTTTTTGCGTTTCGAAGCAATTTTCGTTTTGTCCGATGAACACGCCATTATCACAAATAAAATATTAATTTTTCTGGCTGTTATTTTTTTCCAGACACTGCCGGAAGAAATTTCTACAATATTGATATTCTAAAAAAATCACATCTAGAACTAAAATGAGAAGTAAATCCTTTTAAAACTAATATTCTATTTCAACCTCCAAATTTTTTTCTGACCTCTAAACACTGGCGAAAAATATGGCACTTACAATAAAAAAACAATATTTTGTCAGAAAAACTTTATGTAACGGGAAACCGACTGAATATCGAGAAAAAAAGCTAATAAAAAAAGGATTACATCAAAAAAAGAAATAGGATTTTTTTCTTATATCAGAGAATATTTTTCTGGGTAAGCCGTGTTTACGAAAGAAGAGCCAATTCTTGAATCAGTTCTGAGTGAATCAAAAATTTTAATGAAAACACTTTTTTTCAACTTTTCTTTTTTTTTCTAGCATTTCTCGTTTCAAACCAGGAACGCAAAAAATCAAACCTCAATGCACCCAAGAAGATTTTCGATCTGAAAGATGGCGTCGATTCCGCCGTCAAAGTAGTCAATCTTGCTAGTGATGATTCGCAGCAAGGCGCTCTTCATGCGTTCCTTTTCACGTCTCATTGTTTCTCGCCCGACCGCTGTCATCATCATAGGCGCCATTCCTAAAATTAATTTCTAGCCGATATTTTTTGTACACATCCAAAAACTTTGTTTGCTAGTCGAAATGAATAACTAAAATCACATATTTTCTCCTAAAGCAAACTATCACTAAACCTTGACTGAAAAAGACGTTGGCTTTGAGCATGGCAAAGGTCTTGTCATCGACTTTGAGGTTGATCATTGTGTAGACGACGTCGGCAAAGAGGCTGTCCGTCAGTTTGCCAAACAGGTTGCGCAAGCTGACAGAAGGAGGAAAAACTTAGTCGGGAGAAAAAAAACGGCCTACTAGGGATCCTCGACAGACTCCCTGAGAGTTGCATCTTTAGGAAAAACATTTCCCGAACCAAACAACAGGCCGTTGCACATTTCCCGCTTCGTGTAGTAAGCCATAGTGAGCAAAGAGCAAGGCGTCAGTCGGCAAGTGAACCAAACTTGCTAAAATTCCTCTCAAACCGGGCATCTAAATGAAAATCGATCCAACCTTGTCGTGTAGGCACAGCGTGTTGAAAACTGGAACATGGGTAGCAAAGTCCAAAAAGTGAACAATCCCTCGAGCCCAGGCGCGTAAGAAGTTGGACACGTTGAGAATCTCGAGAGGTCTCCAGTTTCTCTGCAATATTTTTCTTCAAATATGTGAGACAAAAAAATATTAGTACACTAAAAATATTTTGAAATCCTTTCGCAGACCTCAAATCTCGGACACTGCGGGCCAATCTTCTCGATGAGCTCACCAACGGAACAGTCGAACATTTGGCCGATCAGCTCAGCTTCTTTCAAGTTTGTTGTCGAGCTCGACGCCATGCTTTCCAAGTTTTCACAAAACCTCAATTATCAATTTAAAAATGGTACGTTTGCAGTTCACCAACTTTTCCAAGTTGACAAACGTGCTGACAATATCCTCAGCTTGTTCCAACGATGGGAACCCTTTAATGGATGGCTGCTGAGAACAGGAGATGAGTCAAAGATTCGAGTTTACCGTTTTCGGGTTCGTCTGTGGCTCGACGAGGAGGATAGAGGTGTCGGCGAGCTCGTTGTCGACCACGGGAACTGATGTCACCGACTTTTGTTTCACACGAATCTCTCAATTGTAATCATTTTTGAATAAGTTCAAAACTTTCGTTGAACCACAAAAGCGACAGGAAAAAAAGACACACCTCTCACATTCATCCCGACAGCGACGCATTTACGCCAGCGGCAAGATCGGCAGATGTTTCGAGTTCCTCAAAAAACCATCATTAACAACCTTTATTTGTGCAAACCTTTTTGTATGATGCACGAGTTGCCGCGGAAGCACTCGAGGTTCTTGGCCGATAAAAAGACCCGCCGAAAAAACCCCTTGCAGCTTCTAAAAAGTAGGAATAAATTTTGAAGCTTAAAATCCAAGCAAACGTACGGGCAACAAATGGTCCCATAGTGAGGATGGCCGTTGACGTCTCCGCACACGCGGCAACAAAACATTATTCTTTTTGATCGCGGACAAGGGCTATTTGGCAACTTGAAATCGTCGTTTCCATGCCAACGAGCTCTTTCGAGATTAATATGACAAACGACCAGTGACCGAGTTCTTTCTAAAGAACTTCTAAAATTGAATCTTCGAAACAGTTCAAAAGAAACATTTCTTCACAAATGCGATTTTCGCGTTGAAAGGCCCATTCAAACATTTTCTTTATCATAAAATAGAATTAACACACTGTCTCTGACATTCTCAAAAACAGTGAGTACAATAGAAAAAACATTTTTTGATTTTGATGAAACTTCACTAGCCGTGATAATCTGTCATTAGAAATGCCGAAGCAAGTTTTCAGACCGATTACTCCTACCGTAGCTAGATTACGGTAGGCAGGTCCGTCTTTGCGTATCTATGCGTTTTTTCTATGCATACTTTATATCAATCGATAAGGAATGCAATTTTAAGAACTTTTTCAGTACATACCATCATGGGTTACGGTAGAAATGTTTTGAGTTACGGTAATTTTTGTGTCTGCGATTTTGAATTTTCCGTCACTCTGTGTGTTAGGGGAAAGACCACGTCTAGTAAATTTCTTAGAACATTCTTCTCAGCAATACCTACGAATAGATACCATTTTGAAATAGATCTGTCCTACTGGTCATTTCGGATAAACGCTTCGAAGAGGCGCAACTTGGTATCTGACGGGAGAATCGCTTGCGGTTAGAGATTTTTACCTTTCCTTTCTCATTAGATCCCGTGCTAAAATTTTTTTCATCTGACAGTGCAGCATTGTACTTTATAGATGAAAATTTTGCCTCCTACTTTCAGCCTACCCCTTTGATACGAAACTCAGTTTGAAGCCGATTTTTGCCTAAAAACAGCGATTCTCAACTTTCAACATTTTTTTTTCTGTGCTCAGTCCTACTGCGGCTGGGCTCTGAAATCTCTTTTATATTTTTTACGTGTCGCATAAAATAATTGATCAAGAAAAAACTGTGTTTGAGCCAACCCATCTAGCTCCGAATTCGAAGCCGATTTTGGCCTAAAAACAGCGGTTTTCGATATTGTATCCTTCTTCTGGAGAGTTTATCAATAGATAAAATCTTTGCTTTAGATTGAAATAAACCAAACTGAACCTGTTTTCAAGCACTTTTCAACCTTGAAGATTTTCACGAGAATATAAATATTCTCATGTAACTTTCCGTTCTCGAAAAAATCATTCACAAAAATTTGAATACCTTCTAGATTCAAGGTGCTAAAAAATTCTTTTGTGAGTTTGTTCAGCATTAATTCAAGCAAGAATAGGTCAACGTTGCCTTCAAACTGAATTTGAGCTAGACGGGTTGGCTGAAAGTCGAAGGAAACATTAAAGAAACGAGAAGTAAAAATCTCTAACCGCAGGCAATTCTCCCCGTCAGATGCCAAGTTGAGCTCTTCCAAGCGATTTTCCGGAATGACCAGTAGGACAGTTCTTTTTAAAGTAGTGTCTATTCTTAGGTATTGCTGAGAAGAATGTTCTAAGAAATTTACTAGACGTGGTCTTTCCCCTAACACACATAGTGACGGCAAACCGAAACCGCAGACACAAATATCACCGTAACTCAAAACATTTCTACCGTAACCCATGATGGTATGTACTGAAAAAGTTCTTAAAATTGCATTCCCTATTGATTGATATACAATCTCCTTACCTCTTGCTTTAAAATTAGTTTAAAATTTTTTTCTTGAGACTTTTAAAAAATGCTTATTCATCTGAGCAGGAAAGTCCTTCTCTGACCCCAGTCGCCAGCTTTCCGCCAATCTTTCGCCAGCGCGCGCCCCGTCTTTCGCGAGCTGGCGCGCCATATCGCGGCGAGCTAGCGAAAAAAAGCGCGAGCTGGCGGCGAGCTGGCTATAGGCAGCGCCAGCGAATCGCCAGGGTTACCCAAAGCGCGCGTTTACTCCCTTTTCTCCCATTTCTATTCTGCCCTCGCTAATGGAATTTTAAATTATCAAAATGAACTGCAGAACCGCATACATCATATTTATCAAATACGCAAGAAACAATATTGAAAATACCGGAAAAATAACGTTCAATAAATGAGATAAAAACATGTGAAATTTTGATTTAAAAAGGAAAAAAGATGTTATTTTTTGTGCGAATGGAAAGTTGAAAACTATGGATGGTAAAATAAGAAAATAGCGAAAATTTCGACGACTCTTCTTACGAATTTTATTCCTTTATTTTTCTTCGGTTTTTCTTTGTTTCATGCTTTTTCATTTTTACGTTATGGTCTCACTGTGTGATTTTTCATACCATTCTTTAAAAACAAGATATTGATCGAAAAAAAAGGACGGAAGGATCTTTCGAAAAATTTGCCTATGTTTACAAAAATCGCTGAAGTCACCGTTCGAAAACTCACTTATTTAAAAAAATTTTTACCATTTTTCAACAACCACAAAAGAATATCTTGGCTAGAACTTTGACCTGTTTTGCAAAGAGAACAACGGAAAAAATGGAAAAGAGTCGAAAATGAGAAAACGAAAGAAATGTAGTACAGATTGAGACAGAAGACGGTAAGACAAAAAAAAATTGGAAAGTGCTCCACGAAATATTGGAAAAAGTTTTCGAATTGAATCGTAAGATGGCAGGCCGGTGAGTGAAGATAAGAGTTAAAAACATTAACTGCTAGGTTTGAAGTCGAAGGTCATAAAAAAGTTAGGTATAGCTTTTCGAGTACGGAAGGTGTGCGAAACACGATGAGAAAAAAAAAATATAATAAGTCGAAAATAACTAGTAAATCGATTTTTTTTTCATATATTGACTAGAACTTCAACCTGTTTTTTAAAGAGAACAAGCATATGGAAAATAGTCAGAAATCAAAAAACTAAGCTGCTTTTTCTGGCTCGACAGTAGTAACCTCGGCGGAGATCTCATTTGCTGTCGCTTCTGCTGTTTTCAAGCAGTTTTCGGAAATCGCAGCGTCTTTGACCGAATTCAGGATAACGTCATCGCATTGATCTTTCTAAGATATTATTCAATTAAAAGTACATAAAGAGAATTCACACACTCTTTCGATACTTTTTGCGGAGTTGCGATAGCGTGGTTCTCTTTATCTTCATCATCCAATCCGTCTTCGCGCACAGACTTTTTCTAAAATCAGAATAAAGTATAGAAGATTGAGAAAGTAACGCACCTTGCTCATGATCCACATGTCGTTCTCGAATTTAGCTCTTCTGAGCTCGTTCCTGAAAAAAACGTATTGCGTAATATGATTATTTTTTTAGTACTACAGTGCATTGGTGATCTGTTTCGGAATTTCTTCAGAAACAAATTTGTGCCTGAGTTCACGCATATGCTTGAACTGCTTGAGCCGAGTGGCATGATCCTTTCCCAGATTCAGAAAAATATCTGTAAAGGTTATAATTTTTAGGATGGTTTATGAAGAAATTTTTATCCAACGGTGTGTTGTAATATTTCTCCTCCTCTTCTATCCATTCTGGCCTGTCTACCGAAAAATACTTCGCAAGCGAAACCTGAAAATCATATGTTTTTAGAAAAAAAACTGATGAAAACCGATAAGTTGTTCGACGACTTTTTTTGTGGAAGCGGCTTCAAGGGTCCACCTTCACTTCTTTTATGAGTGTATTGACGGATCACGCCCGGTTGCTTGCAGGACTATAATTTTAAACTAAATACAAATTTTACAAATTCACTTGCTTTTTTGAGATTGTGACGGAAAAGTGTATTGAGTTGTACATGAGGTTCTCCAACCGCTGGCCACCCTTTCGTAGTGAGTGTCCAGTTCTTTAATATAGACGAATAAAAAAATAATAAATTGAAGTTCAAACTGTGAAAGGGCCTTCGCCCAGAAAAGGAGAACTTGCTGTTTTTCGACGCTTCGCGACGTAAAAAAATTTCATACGATACTTTCGTTGTACTCAACGCGGTGAATGCGATTTTTCTCACTGCTTCCGTTTTTGCTGACTGAACCATTTCCTGAAGGTAAATTTTAGATTTTATGAGAAAATCAGTAATCTCGCCCCAATTACGCCACCGAAGACCATAGAACTTAATACAAATAGTTGATCTGTGGGTTTTTTGCATTTTTTGAACTCCTCTTTTATTCCAGAGTAGTGTAAGGTCTCCATTCGCGAATGGTTATCGGAGACGAAGCCCTAAACAACATTTTTTTGTTACGAACTTCTTTTTTTGTCAACCTTAAGAGTAGCTTCGGTACCATCTTCTTGTAAATTTCTGAAATAAATTTTTTTCCAGCCTCAAGCAGATTATATGACGTATTGTTGAAACATTCGCTCAGTTCTTCTCGCAGGTTTGGCGAAGGGCTTCCCACAGTATCCACCAAGGGAGAGAGGTTTGCGGTCTCAAATCCAGCTTCAGGCTCTTCAGCAAGAGTTTCAGCATGAACAGACCGAGGTGGGCGTCTTAATCGATCTTTAGCCGAAAAATAGAGATAAAATTTTATATTTTTGATTGAAAGTGGATTACGCTGTTTTTAAAATTTGACGGAATTTCAACGTCTGCTGTGACGCGTGGAGTTTTTCGATAAAACAGTGAGAAAATAGAACAGGATTACCCTCGTTTTTGTGGTGCGCTCCTCCCTCTTTGCCGTGGTGCGCCCATTCCGCGGAAACGTTCCCGTCCTTGAGGGGCATCGTATGGTGAAAATAAATGACCCCTTCGACGCCTGTAGAGCCCATATCATTTTAGTTAAAAGAAAAATGTTGCCTTGAAGGAGTACTGGTGTACATCCCATCATCACGGTAGTATGGCCAAGACTCCTGAGTTTCGGGAGATATTTCTTCTTCGAAATATTCCTCGTCCTGCTCCGAATAAGCAGACATCCTGAAAAAACTTCTCTCGGACTGTTGAAAAAGTTTTTTTTCCCACCTTCTATAATATTCTTTTGCTTCCCGTGGGTCGCTGAACATTGCGCCTGTTGAATTCGGATATTGGAATTATCATTAACGCTCAAAAGATATAAATTAGCGTACTGCACGCTTGAATTTGTTTTTTTTTCCAATTAACGAATACGTGAAAAGAAAACATTTATAAACATGTTGAGATTAAAATTCAAAAGTGAATTGCGAACTAAAGAAACAAAAAACAATTTGAAAAAACAGTTCCCTAAACTTTCCTCTGACCCCAGGCGCCAGCTATCCGCCAGAAAAAGTCATTTCGCCAGCTCGCGCCCATCAAATTTGTGGCGGATTCTTGGCGAACTTCGAGATTTGTAGCGATTTGCTGGCGACATAGTACATCAGCGCAAATTTGCTTTTTATTACTGTATTTTATGTAAATTTAAGAACGAAAGTTTAGGGAACTGTTTTTTTAAATTGTTTTTTGTTCATATCACTCGTTTCTTTTATGTTTCGCACTGTAGAGAGAATTAGTTCAAAAGATTTATTCAGAATGGTTCGTTATAGGAAAGATCGACCGACCTCCACTGAGCAGTCCAGTAAGGTCATGTAAAGTTTAAAAAAAAATTGAGCTGCAGGAAATCTTATCAAGCAGATGAGAACGGCTTATAGGAGAAGCCTCGACGCAGAGAGTCGCTACGAACAAAGTATGGAATTTTCAGAAGAATCAATAGAGGACCGTACAAATGGTTGTTTCATTATGTGGTATTTGAAGATGTTTTTTTGATTTCAGAAGTTGAAATGGAAAGTGTGAATGTGAGGGAAGATCCTTATCGAACGCCAACAACCGAAACCGAGAAAGGCAATGCTGCTGAACGAGAAATGAGTGGGGCGTTGTTCGAAAACAGTATGTTTATATAAAATTTTCGAAACTTTGAAAAAGTTTCAGACGATTTTCGTTCCTATTCATCAGAAATTAGTTTGCCCCTAATGATGACTATATGCACTGTCTTGAAGATGAGCCTTTCCTTAGCTCAAATAAGTCTTTTGCCCGCTTTGGCTGCTATTATGACTGGATTTCAATCGATCGTAACGGTAGAAAATTTTTCAAACTTTCGAAATAATTTTTGAACCTTCTTTTTCAGGCTAGAGCTATCGAAAAGGCCTTGAAAGCAGCTTATAAAATCTTAATTGGTCAAAGAATGTATTACTGTCCTCGTTGCCTAGCTTCTTGCACTTCAAAAAAGGGTTATTGTGTGAACAATACTTGCCGCTATTTCGCGTAAGAAACGTTAATAGATGAAAAAGTTATATTTTTGCAGGAAAAAATCTAAAGGTTCCAAACTGTGCGATCCTTTAATCTTGACACCCTTCAATCTTGACTTTCAAATCAAAGAAATTTTGAACTGTAATATGGGCGAAATCATACACGTGCACCGGCAAATTCATAGTGGACAGGTATCTCTTGTTCTATTTCGAAAAAAAGGAAAAACTATTTAGAAAAAAAGTGATGCTCCGAAAATTCCGCCGCGATACTTAGAAATCATCGAAACAAAAGAAGATTTTAATAACAAAGTTATTCACGTAGCTTACAGTTTAGCATATGACGGATTCATTCCAGCGAGAATCACCAAGTAATCGGCTTTTTCAAAAATAGGATTAAGAGATAGTTTTCAGACGAGAATATCACCCTTTTTACATTCGTTTTGAATCCCTGCAAAGCCGCTTGAGAAATAACCCGAGAAATATTTGCTTGGCGTTATTGTTTTCTGCTAGAGGAGGAGTCAAAAACATCCACATGGATTTGATGATGTGTTGGTGAGTCTTACATTATGACGCAAAAAAAATTTTCGTTGAGGTTGCTCCCACAATTGATAAGACTTCAAAACGATGGGCTGTGGTTTGAATTTAATGGAACTTCGTGGTTGATGAAAATGAAGCCGATCCATATTTTAAGTGACTTGAAAGTTAAAAAATATTAAAAGAAAAAGACAAATTTTTTTTTTCAGGGTCTCCGCATGCTATACACGCTGCCGAACTGGAACTCCAAATACGGATGCCACCGCTGTTATGTTCCAGGGAAAATCGTGAAAGGAAGTGTTGTCTCTTTTCATAGCGACCAGAAGCATGCGCTACGAACACCCAGTGCTTGCCGTGAACATGCGAAGAAAAAAATTTTTGGTTTCCGAGGTTAGTAATTTCGGTTCCGATTGCAATAACTTTAACTATTCAGCTGATGTGCCGACTTTGAGACTCATCACACCATGTGAAAGTCCCTTAGATTTCCTGCACTGCGGACCCGAAGGAGTCATAAAAGACTTTTTGAAAGGTGTATGAGAAAGAAAAATGGGAAAAATAAATATTTCAGAATTGACTGGAAGCGCTACACGAATTGGAGATATGAAACTTGAAAAAAAAATTAACGAAAAAATAAACGAAACTCTTGCTTTGACCGGAGTAAACTGCAATTCAAACTGCCAACTTTTAACGTTGGTCGACTGTGCGAATATGACAGGAAGCCAGATTTTGAAGGTTTTTGAATTGCCGATTCTCAAAAAATATCTCTTTGTAGCTTAGCAGGGTGGTCTTTCCACTCGCTACGGCTGTTATGGCGGTGAGAGACGTTCAAAAATGTTCAATCTTACTGGGTCTTATTTATTTCATAAATGAGACTTCTAAAGACGTTTTCGACCCTTATTAAAAATTCATCGAATATGGCTATTCAGGTTCGTCATTCGCAATCATTTTGAGAGAATGGCTAGCAATTTGACGGCGACTGGTACAGGTGATGCTTCACGTGATGAACTCGAGAAGTTCCTTACACCAAATGAGAAGTCACAAACACGAATTAAATTGAAAAAAAACGTTATACTTTCAGAAACGTGGATAACTTGTTGACTTTTGCCGGAATTTCTGCTCCGACCAACAGTTCAATAAGGCGCTTGAAGTCACAGCATGCACAGCTGGCAAGAAACTTTCGAGCAACTCCTCCTTTCTTGTGAGTGTAAATCTGACCTGAAGTTGCCGGTCAAAATAATTTATAAAAAAATTGTTTAAAAACGAAACCATATTCTCAAAAAAAATAAAAAAATAAAGACTGTCTCCTTCGTCTCAAGAGCGAAGTTTATTTAATGAATTTTTGAAACAAAACAAAGCAAGTTAGTTCAAAATTATGATTTTAAGCTAGAAAAAATGAAAAAAAAAATTCACTTCACCTTTATTTAGCTCCCGGCTGATTACCTCCGACGGCGTTCCTTACGCTTCCTGTGATTATTGGCGTCGGGATTTGTCGGGAGGGCAAAGCACTTTCATGATTTGCTCCAATGGATCGCTGTCTTCTGCTACCGCAGTTTTTTTCTTTTACCAAAACTTTGAGTGGTTTTGCCTAGGAAAAGAATACCGTCTATGTTCTTTCCATGAAACTTTTGCCCTTGCCATTCAGCCTGCTTCTCACCGAGGGAAAGACAACGCGAAGAACTTGCTGCATCTCTGCTCTGAGCTACCTTCTTTTTTCTTTCGAACTACGAGTGCAAAATATACGGTTTTCCCATGTTCAAAAATTTGCGGGCCTGCTATTGTTTTAAATTACGCCCCACATGTTTTCATAATGAGCCTTCCTCTTTAGTTCGCAATTCACTTTTGAATTTTAATCTCAACATGTTTATAAATGTTTTCTTTTCACGTATTCGTTAATTGGAAAAAAAAACAAATTCAAGCGTGCAGTACGCTAATTTATATCTTTTGAGCGTTAATGATAATTCCAATATCCGAATTCAACAGGCGCAATGTTCAGCGACCCACGGGAAGCAAAAGAATATTATAGAAGGTGGGAAAAAAAACTTTTTCAACAGTCCGAGAGAAGTTTTTTCAGGATGTCTGCTTATTCGGAGCAGGACGAGGAATATTTCGAAGAAGAAATATCTCCCGAAACTCAGGAGTCTTGGCCATACTACCGTGATGATGGGATGTACACCAGTACTCCTTCAAGGCAACATTTTTCTTTTAACTAAAATGATATGGGCTCTACAGGCGTCGAAGGGGTCATTTATTTTCACCATACGATGCCCCTCAAGGACGGGAACGTTTCCGCGGAATGGGCGCACCACGGCAAAGAGGGAGGAGCGCACCACAAAAACGAGGGTAATCCTGTTCTATTTTTTCTCACTGTTTTTATCGAAAAAAACTCCACGCGTCACAGCAGACGTTGAAATTCCGTCAAATTTTAAAAACAGCGTAATCCACTTTCAATCAAAAATATAAAATTTTATCTCTATTTTTCGGCTAAAGATCGATTAAGACGCCCACCTCGGTCTGTTCATGCTGAAACTCTTGCTGAAGAGCCTGAAGCTGGATTTGAGACCGCAAACCTCTCTCCCTTGGTGGATACTGTGGGAAGCCCTTCGCCAAACCTGCGAGAAGAACTGAGCGAATGTTTCAACAATACGTCATATAATCTGCTTGAGGCTGGAAAAATTTATTTCAGAAATTTACAAGAAGATGGTACCGAAGCTACTCTTAAGGTTGACAAAAAGAAGTTCGTAACAAAAATGTTGTTTAGGGCTTCGTCTCCGATAACCATTCGCGAATGGAGACCTTACACTACTCTGGAATAAAAGAGGAGTTCAAAAAATGCAAAAAACCCACAGATCAACTATTTGTATTAAGTTCTATGGTCTTCGGTGGCGTAATTGGGGCGAGATTACTGATTTTCTCATAAAATCTAAAATTTACCTTCAGGAAATGGTTCAGTCAGCAAAAACGGAAGCAGTGAGAAAAATCGCATTCACCGCGTTGAGTACAACGAAAGTATCGTATGAAATTTTTACGTCGCGAAGCGTCGAAAACAGCAAGTTCTCCTTTCTGGGCGAAGGCCCTTTCACAGTTTGAACTTCAATTTATTATTTTTTTTATTCGTCTATATTAAAGAACTGGACACTCACTACGAAAGGGTGGCCAGCGGTTGGAGAACCTCATGTACAACTCAATACACTTTTCCGTCACAATCTCAAAAAAGCAAGTGAATTTGTAAAATTTGTATTTAGTTTAAAATTATAGTCCTGCAAGCAACCGGGCGTGATCCGTCAATACACTCATAAAAGAAGTGAAGGTGGACCCTTGAAGCCGCTTCCACAAAAAGTCGTCGAACAACTTATCGGTTTTCATCAGTTTTTTTTTTCTAAAACATATGATTTTCAGGTTTCGCTTGCGAAGTATTTTCGGTAGACAGGCCAGAATGGATAGAAGAGGAGGAGAAATATTACAACACACCGTTGGATAAAATTTCTTCATAAACCATCCTAAAATTATAACCTTTACAGATATTTTCTGAATCTGGGAAAGGATCATGCCACTCGGCTCAAGCAGTTCAAGCATATGCGTGAACTCAGGCACAAATTTGTTTCTGAAGAAATTCCGAAACAGATCACCAATGCACTGTAGTACTAAAAATAATCATATTACGCAATACGTTTTTCAGGAACGAGCTCAGAAGAGCTAAATTCGAGAACGACATGTGGATCATGAGCAAGGTGCGTTACTTTCTCAATCTTCTATACTTTATTCTGATTTTAGAAAAAGTCTGTGCGCGAAGACGGATTGGATGATGAAGATAAAGAGAACCACGCTATCGCAACTCCGCAAAAAGTATCGAAAGAGGTGTGTGAATTCTCTTTATGTACTTTAATTGAATAATATCTTAGAAAGATCAATGCGATGACGTTATCCTGAATTCGGTCAAAGACGCTGCGATTTCCGAAAACTGCTTGAAAACAGCAGAAGCGACAGCAAATGAGATCTCCGCCGAGGTTACTACTGTCGAGCCAGAAAAAGCAGCTTAGTTTTTTGATTTCTGACTATTTTCCATATGCTTGTTCTCTTTAAAAAACAGGTTGAAGTTCTAGTCAATATATGAAAAAAATCGATTTACTAGTTATTTTTCGACTTATTATATTTTTTTTTTCTCATCGTGTTTCGCACACCTTCCGTACTCGAAAAAGCTATACCTAACTTTTTTTATGACCTTCGACTTCAAACCTAGCAGTTAATGTTTTTTTAACTCTTATCTTCACTCACCGGCCTGCCATCTTACGATTCAATTCGAAAACTTTTTCCAATATTTCGTGGAGCACTTTCCAATTTTTTTTTGTCTTACCGTCTTCTGTCTCAATCTGTACTACATTTCTTTCGTTTTCTCATTTTCGACTCTTTTCCATTTTTTCCGTTGTTCTCTTTGCAAAACAGGTCAAAGTTCTAGCCAAGATATTCTTTGTGGTTGTTGAAAATGGTAAAATTTTTAAATAAGTGAGTTTTCGAACGGTGACTTCAGCGATTTTTTTTTGTAAACATAGGCAAATTTTCGAAAGATCCTTCCGTCCTTTTTTCGATCAATATCTTGTTTTAAAGAATGGTATGAAAATCACACAGTGAGACCATAACGTAAAAATGAAAAAGCATGAAACAAAGAAAAACCGAAGAAAAATAAAGGAATAAAATTCGTAAGAAGAGTCGTCGAAATTTTCGCTATTTTTCTTATTTTTACCATCCATAGTTTTTCAACTTTCCATTCGCACAAAAAAATAACATCTTTTTTTCCTTTTTTTAAATCAAAATTTCACATGTTTTTTTATCTCATTTATTGAACGTTATTTTTTTCCGGTATTTTCAATATTGTTTCTTGCGTATTTGATAAATATGATGTATGCGGTTCTGCAGTTCATTTTGATAATTTAAAATTCCATTAGCGAGGGCAGAATAGAAATGGGAGAAAAGGGAGTAAACGCGCGCTTTGGGTAACCCTGGCGATTCGCTGGCGCTGCCTACTCGCATGCTGAGCAGGTGTCTCAACGGGTGTACCCGTATTAAACCCGTGTTTCTGAGGTTATTTTAGTCTCAGTTGGGCTAAAACGGGGGAACAACGGGTGTAAGAAAAATAGGTAACCCAGCTGGGCTAAAGCGGGGTCTCAGTTGGGCTAAAAAGTGCCAAAAGTTCTATCAGCTGGGCTTATACGGGTTTAATACGGGGGCACCCGCGGAGACCCCGTGTTAGCACGGCGGGGTTACCCTGCTCAGCATGCGAGTATAGCCAGCTCGCCGCCAGCTCGCGCTTTTTTTCGCTAGCTCGCCGCGATATGGCGCGCCAGCTCGCGAAAGACGGGGCGCGCGCTGGCGAAAGATTGGCGGAAAGCTGGCGACTGGGGTCAGAGTCGTTCTTAAATTTACATAAAATACAGTAATAAAAAGCAAATTTGCGCTGATGTACTATGTCGCCAGCAAATCGCTACAAATCTCGAAGTTCGCCAAGAATCCGCCACAAATTTGATGGGCGCGAGCTGGCGAAATGACTTTTTCTGGCGGATAGCTGGCGCCTGGGGTCAGAGTTTTTTTTGTTAACCCGATTTTCCAACGAGCTCAATTTTCAGACCGAGCGAAGAACAGATCAGCCAGATCACTGAGCTATTTCTTCGTTCCGGTGAATGAAGAAAAACTCAATGGCACACAGCGTCCCATTGTGCGTCGTCAATCAACCAATAAAAACACACACAAACGTAGGCACCACAAGCCATTTCTCCAAAAAAAGTAATGAATAGTCGAATCCAATACCATAAGATAGAAAAGACTGTCCAAAAGTCAAATCAGTTTAGTTTTTCAAAAAATTTTGATTTAGAGCTAATTTATGAAGCTTTTAGTGACGCGCGAGAAACCCGAAAATTTGGCGTTTTCCGAATTTTCGGCTGCGGCCGCACTGCTTTGGCTCGTTTTCCATTCATATTAAACCGTTTCAAATCGGTTTTTCGGTATAAACCAATGGACCTCTATGATTGTTATCCTTTAAGTTTAAGATTTAAAAAAAAAATAATTTTTTCGAAAAATAAGAATAAAAAGGATCCATGGCACCAACGGAAAAAAACTATTATATGATATTTTTGTGTTCAAATCATCAAGAAAGTACAGTCCCATAAACTTAAAAATGAGAAATAATTTTTCAATTATCATAGAAAAACACGAAGTTCTAAATTTTCAATGTCGGATTTCCAATTTTTCGGCCGTAAAACACTTGTTTTCCTTCAGAACGGCGCGATGTCACACCCACGGCACGCTTCGACGCGCAAAAATAAAATGAAAATTTGACCGTTTTTGGTCATTCAAAAGGTGGTATGAAAAAAAGACCTGCGAAAATTCAAACGACGACTTTTCCGATTTTTTCATATCGCTAGGGAACTTTCCGACGGCCACCTTTCCGACGAATCTCTTTCCGACTTTTTTCCCTTATATTTTTTGGTTTATAAAACATCTATAAGTATTTTTTTTCCTATTTCTTTGTGTTTTAATCATGAACCAACTACCTACTTTATATAGGGAGATTTAAAACGAAGATTTATCGAGAAAAAAAAGTCGGAAAAAGAATCGGCGGAAAGGTGGCCGTCGGAAAGTTCCCTAGCGATATGAAAAAATCGGAAAAGTCGCCGTTTGAATTTTCGCTGGTGTTTTTTTCATACCACCATTCAAAATGCTCATTCTTTTTTCGGCACCGCCAGATTTTTTTCAAATTTTTTCAAAAAAATGTAAAATTCTAAAGGAAAAAAACATATCTAAAAAAAGGGTGAAAGGACTGTACTCTTGCCGAACGCTCCAATAAACGTAATTCATTTTTGCGAGCGTTTTTTGTAAAGGCAAATTCAAACTTATTTTTCTCGGAATTTTGTTTTCGTTTTTTTGTTTACGTGCTTTACGCTTTTTTTCAATTTTTAAACGAAGAAAATCACTAGGTTGTCGTTGAAATTTTCTCACATTTTTGCTCCAAATTTTTTTTGTTTTTTGAGTGTAACTTTTCAAGCTTCGTTCTTTTTTCGACACCGCCAGAATTTTTTCGTTTCATTATAATTTCCGAAGGATATCATAATGAATAACATATCCAAAATTCAGATGTGAAACGCATGTAGTTTTGGGAAACTTTTTTTGGCAGTTTTTTTTCGGGTTAAATTTCGAAAAGTGCTAATGCCGTGTTCAAAGTAATTTCGGCGATTTCAAAATTAACGCGTTATTCGTTTAAAATGATTTCGGGAAATAGGCAGAATTGGTATTCCGGGAGGGCGCGGAAAAAGTGAGTATCGTTTTATATGCCTTTTTACTGTAAATTCTGCGCAGGAACTCAAAATTTTGGGATTCTTTGGGCTTTTTCTACTGAAATTTCAAATTCGCGCGTAAAACTCACCGTAAAAATGCGTATCCAAGGATATATCGTTGTAGGACTCACCTTCCCAGAATATCAATTCCGCCTATTTCCCGAAATCATTTTAAACGAATAACGCGTCTATTTTGAAATTGCCGAAATTACTTTGAACACGGCATAAAAAAGGAAGAAAAATTCAGAAAAGAAAAAACAGTTTGAAATTCTAAGTGTGCCATGGAGCAAAATTGCGGCGTGGCATAGTTTTCCAAACCGACCGACCGACCGCACAGACCGACTTTTGATGGTAGGACGAAAAATTTGATCCGCAAAAATACGTCGCGTGAAAATTGCGACCACATAACTTATGAGCCACGAAAATTTTAAGCCTTTAAAATTTTGTCCATTTAAATTAGAAATTACTTGCATATAAGGCTTTCAATTTCTGTATTTTCTGTTTTTCTTTGTTCTGGTCTTCTTCAAACTTCTGCTCTAGTACTGATTCTCATTTCTGCGTTGAGTTATCCCGGCGATCCCAGGATTTGATAACGTTTTGAAACCAAATTTCGAGTTTTAACTCTTTTTCTTCTGTTTTCCCAATTAATTTGTGCCATAAATCATTAAAGTTCAAAATCTGTCAACTAAATACGTTTTCCATGTTTATAAAAAAAAATGACAGACTTCTTATTGATGATAATGATTGAAATTTCTAGAAACCTACCGAAAACAGTGGCTTTAGCTCTGGAATTAATCAATATCGAGAATAAAGGGAAAAAAAATTGAAAAAAAGGAAAAAGAAAGAAATTCAAAAAAAGTCATCATCTGAGCAATTTTTAAAATTTTACGAAAAAAATTTTTGAAGGCTTATGGCGCGTTCAGGAGCAAAAACGCGAAATTTTTTTCGAAATTCAAAAGAGCGTTCACGGCGATACTTCGAAATTAGCGAATTTCGATTTTTTTGAGATAATTTTTGAGAAATTTCAAAAAAATAGCGAGAAAAATTGGTTTCGCGCGAAATGGGTTACGGTATATTGACATTTTGTGTGCCAAACACAGTTTTTTTCTCTTTTTTCTTTTTTTCAGATAATTTTTTTCTTTTTATTTTTTTCATTTTTTTCAACCTGTTCAAAGTTATTGATTTTTAGAAATAGTACGAATGAAAGCCTTAAGTTAATTTTTTCGACTGTCTGAACTTAAAAAAAGTTCAATTTTACTCAAATTTCTTTATTTATCGTTTTTATTTTTTTTTCCGACGGATGTATCAGAGTGTTTGAAGTTGCAGGTCTCTAAACTATGGCGGGTATTGGATTACCGAAAGTGCTAAAGTTGAAAAAGGTTAATTTTCATTCAAAAAAAACTTTTTTTCGCAATTATTTTTTTACAATTTTTTTGATTCTTTTTCACAAAAAAATTTAGACTCGTTAGGGAGGCACGAGCGGCTCGTGTGAAGGTAACGCAAAAATTTTTCGTCTCTACAGTCAAGCATAAATCCGTGATTTTTCGACGCAACGGTCAAGAAGGAAATAGAAGGTTTTTTTATCTATTCAATTTTTCAATAACTGGTTCATTTCATTAAAAAGAAAAGTATTCAATTTTTTTCAGCTCATTCGAACAAGACATTGTTGTGGCCAGCCGGATAAATTTGGAATTTACCATGTCTCGATTTTTGTC